AACGATACCCCGTTTTACGGTACCTCTATATGCGCATTTAGATTCGCATCCGAAGTTCCTCCTTTTTGCTTTTGCTTGAGTTCAAGTCTCCGTGTACATCGTACGGGTTAGGCAAAAGATGTGCGTTCGTCTTTCTACTGCCGGATTAATGGCCATTCGCTCATTTTCAACTTCTATTCAATTTTCATACTGCCGTACTCTAACGGAACTAACCACCTACCCTCTTCTTTTAAAGGGTGTCCACGATGAAATTGCCACACTATGAAATTGCTCTAACTTTTTAACCGTTGGGTAGAATTTAATGAAAATTTGGGTGGATTTAGTTCATAGTGCATTATTTACATCCTGCAAGTTTTAAAGTCCTGTGATCAAAACTCGCGGAAATGGAGTCGAAAGAACAGCTCGTGCGTGATAAAATCTTGCGCATTCATCACGAGAACAAGGATCTCTCGCATCGTTCCATCGCTAAAACGTTGGGAATCGCGAATTCCACGGTGTCGCGAGTGATTAAGTGGTTCGAGGAACGGTTGACCACCGATCGGAAGCCCAGAAGTGAAGGAAAAAGTATTCCGTACAACACCAAAAATCACAACCGCGTAGTTGGGGCCTTCAACCAAAATCCGAACGCCTCCGTTAGGGATGTGGCTAAGAAGCTGCACCTAAGCCGAAGTTTTGTCCAGAAGGCCAAAACTAAGGCTGGGCTTCGAACGTTCAAGGTACAAAAGGCCCCTAATCGCGACGAGAAGCAGAACAAGTCCGCCAAAACCCGTGCCAGGAAGTTGTACCTCAACATGCTGACGAAAGTTGAATGCTGTATCATGGACGACGAAACATATGTGAAGGCCGACTTCAAACAGATCCCCGGCAACCTCCTGTTTTTCACGGCCAAGGATAAGTTCAGCGTTCCGGAGCATGTCCGCACTCAGAAGATGTCCAAATTTGCGAAGAAATTCCTGGTTTGGCAAGCCATCTGCACGTGCGGGAAGCGGAGTGCACCTTTCGTGACCCAGGACACGATGAACGGACAGGTGTACATAAAAGAGTGCCTCCAGAAGCGGCTGCTTCCTCTCCTGAAGGCCCACAACGTCCCAACAATCTTCTGGCCGGATTTGGTCTCATGCCACTACTCCAAGGACGTGCTGAAGTGGTATGCGGACAATAAGGTCAATTTCGTGCCGAAAATGTTCAACCCTCCCAACACTCCGGAGCTCCGCCCCATCGAGAAGTACTGGGCGATTATGAAGCAGCACCTTCTTAAACGACCTAAGGTAGTGAAGACAGTCGAGGAACTGAAGAAAGTATGGGTTTACATGCAAAAAACGGTTGATTCACAGGTTGTGCAGAATCTTATGGCCGGGGTTAAGGCCAAGGTGCGGGCATTTGCGTATGGACTGTAAATAAAATACGAGTAAAATGGTAAAATGAAGTTTAATAGTTATTTCTCAATCCCTGAAAATTTGATGGCAATCGGATGAAAACTCAAATTTTGCGAATCAATTTTGTGTGTGGCAATTTCATCGTGGACACCCTTTAACAGAAATACACCAATTTGAAGTTGATCAATTTTTGCGCGTTCCAGACTTTACACACGGAATCCAATGTTCAAGCTGCCAACATAGGCTAGTCCTTCTGCTGTATTGTCAAAGATAGAAGCAACATTTATTCAAATGGGTCAAGTCTTGAAAACTTAGCTGACACGCAGCTCCAGCTTGATACCCAATAAAAAACCGGAAAAGGTCAATTACACTTTTGTATTTTACTCTTTCACTTAGCGTGGATCGACTCATATGCTTATCAAAAATGGTTACAATTTAGATAAACAATAAGATTTAGATTAGCAAAACTATGCAGAACAACTTTGTCTAAGATCGCAAATCGATTAGATATTTGCATTGAATGGCATTAACTTTTAACTGCACGCCAAGTGCGCGCATACCTATAAGCTCAATCAATTTGTAATCTTAAACAGCGTTGTTCTGTATAGGGGGAGAGGTAGCTCATCGATTCTTCCGGTTCGCCTCCTAGCATCGTGCTATAAGGTACCAGGCGATAACCAGGGTAGTTGATCGATAGCTCGATGACGTCATTTCGTTGGCGTCTGCAATGGGAAATTCTCATAGCAGGCGTTGACGATGGGACGTTGTCGAGTTGTTGAATAGCAACTATCGTGGTAACTCACCGATTACCTGTCGATCTGCCAAATTTGGAAAGACGTTTGCATTGAATTGTCTCATATAATAATATTCCGCCCACTATATCAGAAGAAATTGCGAGTAGCTGAGTGGAATGGAGATAAGTTAAACATTGGGTACAGGACCAAGTCTCTCCTGGGTGGTGCCAAAAGATGAGCGCAATAGAATCATCAAGTTGTCATAAGCCACGGAATGAGACTATTGCATGGCTGGGTAGTCAAAGTCTTCCATTCGTTAGTCATTTCAGGTGGATTAGAACAGGTTTAGGTGGGCGTTAGCCAGATTTGGATTTTTCAGATGTAATCCTGGATAGGACCCTGTCATTGAACGTCGCGTGAAACTGGAACTTAATGAAGGCCTCATTACTTTTTCGTAGTTTTTAGTATTCGGATTTGAAAGATCGTCGGTTACAGTGGCCTGCTTACTGAGCAGAAAAACGCGGTCCCAGGTCCTTACATATCAAAGAGATTTATGGTAAAATCGCTTGTGTATCGTGTATTTTGCGAAACTCGTTGTTGTCGTTGGTTCCGGGTTTGAATGGATACACAAATTTGAGCAACGGTATTATGTGATATGAGGGGCTCGGTGGCCTTAGAGCAACCGTTTTTGCTTACTGAGCAGAACATCATGAGTCTAATCTCAGGCCCATCCACATTCAAGATTCGTCAATCGTTTTATTTGTTAATATGACTACATGGTAATAACAGCAACTCGGTGATTAAAAAGGTGCTCGTCTGCCTAGTGGCAAACGTTTTTGCTTACTGAGCAGAAGACCGTGGGTTTAGTCCCAAGCTCCTTCGCGTTATATGATCGTTAGGACATCAATTCAGCTTATCGTTTATCAAAACGAACCCTGCTGCAAACCCAACCCTCTTATCCAACATCCCAGTGATTCCTCGTGGAAGTGCAGAGGTGTTCTCGGCTTCCATCAAAGCGAGTGTCATGTCAACACAATCCTTCCCATTCCTTTCTTGACCTGTGTTCGGGCGCGGCCGGCGCTGGTATTGCCTAATTTAAGATCACCAGTTTTTACACATTGAGGATGATTGCTAGTCCCAAGCATCGTCTATTGGTTCTCTGTGTAATTACAGCTGATCTGGCAGTAACAGAGTAGCAACCGTGGGCGGTCAATCAAGCTCAAGCTCAAGCTCAACAGCGTTGTTCTGTATAGTTTTCCCAATTTCAAGTTTGATCAAAATTTAGATAATTTTATTTTATTTTGAAAAGCAAAAGAATAGTTTTGCGGTTTTGCTGTATTTGTTTAAATAAAATATATTGTTTGAGTCAATTCCAAAAATCTCGAATATATCTCAATATATCTGTGAGATATTTTGAGGAAGTAAAGAGTATTTGATGTATTGTTGCGTTCACTTGTGTGCACGTTTTAGAAAAGTCATTCAGAAAATCATGTATTCTTTAAAATTTCATGTGATGTATATTTTTCAGTACTCTAAAAATAATAGCATTGATCTAGACAATATCGTGTTGATCAGTATCGTTCGAGCAAAAATGATAAAAGTATTCTTTTGAACGATTGTTCAAACTATAAAACTATAAAAACGTGAATTTCTGTTACATTTTATAAAACGTCGTATATCTCGTATCAGTTGTTCGAACAGCTTTTATGTCTACAGAAACTTTTCATAAAATTCTACGTTCTACAACTTTACCAAAGACAGCAAACCTCTATCTTGCGAAATAAAAAGTTTGTATCGCTGCGCCATCTTTTCCGCCAAAACTTGAACTATTTTTATCCACGAAATTGTAGTTTAAATTAATCCAAGAAACTTCACAGAAGGTGAGCTGACGCCTTGGATGCAATCTCAAAGTGTTATTTTTTTCCTGCTAGATTTAATTCCTGACCCACTGTGCATTTTAAGCAGGTCAAATTATGAGGGACATCAGACTAGCAAAATTAAGCTATGGTATGGCAGGTTATGCGCAAGATTATTAAAGATTTTTTTTGTGTGAAAAGTGTTAATTACATAGGGGAATTTACGTATTCTCGGCAACCTAAGCAGCGACCTTCTTTCTATAGCCTTTTTCTCTAAGGAACGCACACATTTGCAGTATTGGTTTGTTTACAATCTATTGCTGCCAGCTGCTCTAACAATTTCAGTCGAAAGAATTGTCAAAACCTGTTTTGAAACGCTTTTACAAAGCTCCAATCTTCTCTAGTGAGAGCGAGTATTGTCGGCAACCAGTTTTTCTTCGGCAACCGTTCCATTTGAACTGCATGTAAATCTGCTGTTCTATTATCGGCAACTCGAAATCAGCTACAATTTGTAGTGCGTGTGTTTCATTTCAAGAAAACCTTGCTAGATTGCTTTTTCTCAGTGGTAAAAATATAGTCAAATTGAAGCTGAAAGCATAAAGAATCGTTTGCATGCATTCAGCGAAGTGTTCTCATAAGAAAATCCAGTGAAAATAGTGTTTCAATTTGGGTTGCCGAAAATAGTCTGGCATGCCGAAGCCGTCATTTCCCCTATTCTCATTAGTGGATCTTTCAAAAAATCGTTTCACGCAATTGTTAAACTACTTTTGTTTTTTTTTGTGTGATAATTATATAGCTACGTGTTACGGATGGGAGTGGCTGTGAGGATTTGTTACAAGGGGTTAAAAAAAAACAAACAAACAAAAATTTATCAAATGTTGGACCCGTTCAAATATTTGATAACATTATCTGTAATATTACAGACTTATTCTTGGATTAGTGATAGTGAAATTTGTTATAAAACCATTACATACCTACTTTTTCCTTTCCGTCGAAGTTCTTTTTAAGTTTCATAGTAAGCTGTCACACGCCTATTAAAATGGCAAATCTCATCATTATGTTTATTATTGCAAATATTTTGTGATTTATTCAAATTACAAAGGTTCTAAGAAAACAAAACATTCCCTACTAAGAGTTAACCGTTTGAGTAATATTGCACATTTAAGTAAATGTGTCGTAATAATAAAATATATAAAAAAAAATATTGCATTCAATTGGTTAGTTTCACTAACGAACAATAGAAACAGTGTGGTGGTAACATTATCATTTCTTTAATTCTCCAATCATTGTCAATCGTTCTTCAGCACTTTTAAAAATTGTCATTATAATAAATTACTTAAAAATTAAAGAAACAACTAAAAATGATGACTCAAATGTTCCTACTTAGTATTGTCTTTTTCATGTTTCACATCTCTTTTAAATTACATTTAATCCATTTACCTTAGTTTAATGTGTTTTTTTATTATCATATAGAATAACTCTTTTATTAACGTTACTCGTGAGAAAGGCACTGATGCACAAAGATCATACAATTTCAATCAAGGCACAATTCGCTTAGTCGAAAAAATGGGGACAGTTTGTTTGAGTGTCTTTTACAGGTTTGTCTAGAACAGGTATTTTCTTGATATACTAAGTTATAGTTATAGGGGGTGGTTAGGAAGAGTTTGTGGTTTTCCAAAAATGTTTGAGGTAGACCAAAATTTTGACAGGAAATATTAAAGAATATAAAAAAATTATAATGGAAAATCGATTATGGGAACTGGGATGTAACTGCTTTGAAGTTGTTGTTCAGAAAAGTCTATTCAATTGATCGACTATCACAGCTAGGGAAGTAGATACAAAAATCAGAGAGAAATCAAAAAACAAAAATGTTTTTATCAGGGATTTGACTATCTGTTTTTTCAGTGTAAATAACTTAATTACTTATGTTAAATTAATGTCTTTTATAAATGTGGTTCTGCATTATGTCGCTTCTACTTAATCGCTAAGAATCTCATTATAGAACGTGACTAGTGTTATTATGGCGCAGATCCTGCGGTTGGACCAGGTTCTTCCGCAGCTGTCGGTTGACCTTGGTCCATGCTTTCCGAAGATCCGTTGTTCGCTTTGGCACATTCAGCGATGGTTGGTGAAGGTGATCCGTTAGCACTTTCCGGCAGAGATATCGGATGGCTGAGATCCTTTGGCTGGTTCAAGACGTCGGACATTTGAGCCGTTGTCAGGGAAGAGGCCAGGGATGTTGGGATCGAAGCCGCATTGAATAGTAGAGATTTGGGGGCAAATGCAGACTGCATGGAAGCAGCCTGTTGAAGGAAGGTAGGAATCGATACGATCGAATTGCCCTGGGAAGTCAAATTGGCTAGAAGCTGATTGGTGTGGTGTTGCTGCTGTTGTTGCTGTTGCTGTTGCTGTTGATGTAATTGATTCGATTGTTCGGATAGGAACTCCTGCTTAATCAAGTGACTCATCGGGTTTTGGTCGTTGAGCATTTCCTGCTTGATCATCTGGCCAAGATTAGCTTTCGAACGCTTCCGTTTGGTGTCCGGATCGCATGGGCTAGGCGTTCCAGGGTGTCGATAGGATACGTGTTTCCTCAGGGCATCCTTGCTGCGGGATACGTGCGAACAAACGGTACATGCATACCTGGAAGTAAGAATTATTACTTTAATCTTTGATGAACACTGATTTGGGTATCCCAATCTATGGCATTAGAAATGAATGGAAAATATCGACGTATTTATCACCTTTGCCGTAGTGCCACTTACCTGACATTCTGATGCGTCTCCAAGTGCACCCGCAGATTGTACTGATTACTGAGTTGTTTGTTGCAGATGAAGCACGTGGCGTACAGCTTGGTGGGTGGCTTCTGCGGTGGTGTTCCACCGGTACCCATGTGATGGCCGGCAGCGGCAGCCGCCTTCAGCATATTGTTGGCAGCACTGAGCGACGAAGCCCCCACGATGTCCATCGCCATGGAAGGGGTAATTGTCGTGGCCGTGGAGCATGCTGATGATGAAATTGGCGACATTGTGCCACCATGGTTCATAAGTAAACCTGTTCCACCGGGACTTGGGTGGGCCGGATCAGGTAGGATAAGGTTTTCCGGTGTCTTCGATGCAGACTCGTTCGTTAGGAAATGGTGTGCGAGAAAGGACGGCTGTTGTTGGCTCACAGGGGTGACGGTGGGAGGTTTGCTGAAAAAGTGTAGCTGCGAGAGTGACTGCGAGCTCGGTGGGAATTTCAAGGATTGCAACAAATGCTTGTTGAAGGATGCTGCGGCAGCTGCAGCGGCGGCGGCAGCGGCTGCCGTCGCGGTTGTTTGTGTTCGGAGATTCTCTGCAATTTTGTCGATTTTCTTTCGTTTGCTTTCCTGACTTGTGGATCTCTTGACAGAACAAGTGTTTAGGGACAGCGAGCGTTGCTCGTCCGGATTGCTGGAAGGCGTGGATGGTGCGGAGTCGTGCTGCTGTTGATGCTGCGCTTGGTGAAGATGGGTGCTATCGAGATTAAATTTAGGATCTCCACTAGTGGCAGCGGATTCTGTGTCGTTTTTTGTCACATTGGACTTCTCGATGCCCTGGCCGGTGCTGATGTTGCTGGCACTGTTGTTCTTATTATTAGCATTGACAGATTGTCGATCTTCTAAGCTATTGCTGCTGGGACCGTTATTGCTGCCATTTTTGTTGTCTCTATTTATAGATTCACCTTCCTCATTCATCTTCCATAGCGCTTCGTTTGGCATCATATCACACTTCTGCGGAAGAAATCGTGAGAATGGGTCTGTCGATTTACTCGAGCTGTTGTTGTTGCTATTGCTGTTGTTATGTGTCGCCAGGTTGAGTGCTTGTGGGAAAAGTGGCGAATGGAAATTGAACGGTCGTGGAAAGTAGGAATCGCCTGGGGATTCCATTTTGATGCCTTGATAGGGCGATGGAATTTCCGACTCCCGTGAAGAAGCTTCAGTCGTTGGAGTGCTGGATTTTTGTGAATTCTGTTTCGAACAAACAGCATTCCATTAATCGTCTACATTGATTGAATAGAAGTAAATGGTGGCAATACTTACTCCACTGAAATCCGCTAATCCTTTGATACCCAAAGTCTCGGCCAGCGAGAGTAGGGTAGAGATTTGTTCCTCATAGACGTTAACCTCTCCGGAGTACATGAAAGTGAGAAGCGCTACAACTGAGTGAAAAGAGGCCCCTGGCAGGACTACAACTGGATACAGAGGGCCATCCAAGGTTCGGAACAGTTCCGAAAAGAATGTACTGCATGCACTGAGTACCACTCGGTGTGCTTTAATGTTGCGTCCTTCTGCTATTAGCGTTACATCGGTGAGATGGGATTGATCCAATAGAAGTGGAAGTGAGCTTAGTAAACTCGCCTGTTGGGGGTGAGAAAGTAAAACAAAGAATTACGTTTCGATTATGGTAGCAAGTTCCCCTATTACGCTCAAGTTCAGTACATATATAACCACATGATCTTGTAGGTGTAATGTTGTGTTATATAGAATTTCACGAGATGATGCATTGTGCGAAATATGGCATTCCCCGAAATTGGCCTTATAAATCATCTTCAAAGGTCTTAAGGTTTACTTCAAAGAGCTTGTAGGTCACCTTCAGCCGCCTGACTTTGGACTTCGAAGACCTCACGGGATAACTGCAGAAAGTTCATGAGCTAATTCCACAATTCAGTCAGTTGCATTTGCTATCCAGACATTTATTAGGTCCAGTATCTTATTTCATCGATACGATTGAACTTCAGAGATCTGATGGGTCAACTTCAAATATTTGTTGAAATAATTCTGCACTAGCTCTAATGCCTTATAAATAAAATTCAGATATAATATTGAAAGAATTATGAAATGATCAGCAAGATGTTTGGGATAATTTTCTGGAGAAATTTGGGATTGTTCTCCAAATCTCTCCAGAAAATTATTCCAAACTTCTTGTGAATCATTCTTTCAATGTTATCTCTGAATTGTATCTATAAGACAGTAGAGCTAGTTAAAACCGGAAAACTTAAGAAATATAGAGATTCAACAAAGCATTTTCCGAGATTCAGCAATCAAATGTCACTTTTGCTGAGATCTCAGTAAAACAGATTGCCAAGCACTGGGCTGTGCAAATCTCGGCAAAAAAAATGAAGTGTTTAGTATGATTGTACATTAGACTGATGCAAAATTAGAAATTTTCTCTCCACAGTGCTCAAACGGTTCCAAATTGGGCCTTGATTAGCCTCCCAAAATTTGAACTCATTTAGTGAGAAACTGACGTGGCACAAACCATTTGAAGTTTATATGGGAATTACTATGGAGAAACCATAATTTCGGTTCATAATTATCTCAAAATTCACCAGTTTACTCTACTTTAGAAAATGATGACTGAACTTGTTGAACATTTTCTCAGCTACAACTTTGTTCAAGACCAGTTTTCGATCAAATGTAAGGAACAAAAGTTTTTAATGATTCTTGTCACTGATGTCTTATGATTATGCTCAATCAACTGTTCAGCAGGCAACATTGGTGTTTATGGCGCGTAGAATTGAGGACAAAAATCATGGTTACTATGTCACACTGCAGAATACAGTGTTGCCCACAATACAGTTGCTAAATCTTGTCATAAGATTATCAATCTCTTAAACAATTAATAACTATTTCATTTAACGTTTGGCTGAAAAACAATGTTGTAGCTGATGAAAATTTCCATAAGAATAGAAATAGAATTTGTTAACAGTACAATATGTGAAAAGGCTAGAAGACAATGAACAAAAAGTTTTGTATTCCCATAGTAATTTCCATATAAACTTCAAATGGTTTGTGCCAACTCAGTTTCTTATCAAATGAACATTAAACATTCAGTGGCTAATCAGGACCCGATTTGAAACCGTTTGAACACCGTGAAGCGAAAATTTCCAATTTTGCATCAGTCTATTGTACATGCCACACAATCATACTGATGTAAAAATTGTAAGGCATCGAAAGCTCTCATATCTGTGGTAGTGCATCTAGAACACTAAGTTGAGAGCACGCTATAAACTAATATGCAATAAGCAATAAGCTTAAAATGCGAAGAAGAAGATGAACGAAGCCATCATCCGCCATGATGTAGATGTTATCAGAATTGAAAGTAGCGCAGTGGACGAGACGTGGCATCTTTAAAAGGGAGATTAGGGTGGCCAGGATTGGGCTCACGATAAGTTCTACCAAAACAAAGCATGTAGGGGGTCAACGGTTCGATCTATATTGAGGTTCCCGACAACTGTGCCAAATTTGAATGGATTTGGTTTTGCTGCAGAACTTTAAAGTTTGTATGCGAAAATGTATAGGAAACGGAAAGAAACTGTTAATTTGCTTATTCAAAATTCAATATTACCCATACCTGAGACTTAGATTGCAAAAACTTACTATTTATAAAAAAAAAATTCGGGATGTAAAAAAAAAGTCCGTGGTCACGCAAGTTTCTCAATAGCCATTACTAAAAAAAAAATCGAAGTGCAAAATCTTAATCTATGTTTTTGTCTTAAAATACCCTGGATCTTATATTTTTATCAATGTTAAGGTTTCTAAAACAATTTCTAACCTAGCTTTTTCTCTCATCCAATAGTCTTCGACATTATTACCCGGAATCGGTTGTAGAGAAACTAGGGGCAAGAGGGTCACCCTAACGATAGCGCGTTTTGCGATTTGCGATTCCGTGAATATTTATAGGAGTTTGAACCGAATTGTAAGTTTATAACCTTGTCTCCATGTATCATAATTGAAATTAAAATTAAACCCCATTAACAAATGTCAATGATTTTTCTCAAAATATCATGTCATACCTGCTCTAAAAATGCTACCGGGCAAGACGGCTACTTTCATGGGGAAAAAGGCCATATGTCTACAATGAAGTGAATCACTAAATGTTCATTTTTAAACAAAAAATTGTGTCAGCAACTGTTTTTATTGTTAATTCCACTAAAATATTGACTTTGCGATATTTTTTATCGTTTTTTTTTAAGTTCAGCGCTCACCGGCTAACGAACGCCAACGGCCTTAGACTTATCGAGTTCGCCGTCTCTAAAAACATGGCCATACGTAGTACCTACTTCCAGCATAGCCTCCCGTATCGATACACCTGGAGATCACCGCAGCAGACAGAATCGCAAATCGACCACGTTTTGATCGACGGAAGGCACTTCTCGGACATTATCGAAGTCAGAACCTATCGCGGCGCAAATATCGATTCGGACCACTACCTTCTAATGGTCAAGGTGCGCCAAAAACTTTCCGTTGCCAACAATATTCGATACCGACGCCCGCCACGGTACAATCTGGAGCGACTGAAGCTGCCCGAAGTCGCAACTGAGTACGTGCAATGCCTCGACGCAGCGCTGCCGGATGAGGGAGAGCTCACCGAAGCCCCTCTTGAGAACTGCTGGAGCAACGTGAAAGCAGCCATTAACAGCGCTGCTTAAGGCGCCATTGGGTTCGTGGAGCGGTATCGACGGAACGATTGGTTTGACGAAGAGTGTCAGACGGTTTTGGACGAGAAGAACGCAGCGCGGGCGGCGATGCTGCAGCAAGGAACCCGTCATAATGTGGAGCGATATAAACAGAAGCGAAGACAGCAAACCCATCTTTTCCGGGATAAGAAGCGCCGCCAGGAAGAGCTGGAGTGCGAATAAATGGAGCAGCTATATCGTTCTCAAGAAATACGCAAGTTCTATAAGAAACTCAACGCATCCCGCCAAGGCTTTGTGTCGCGAGCCGAAATGTTTCGGGATAAGGAAGGGGGTATCTTGAAGCAGCACTACGATGAACATCTGAACGGTGCAGAGGCGAAGGACCAAGGCGGCAGGAGGAATGGCTTCGTCGGTACAGCGGATGAGGGAGACATACCAGCTCCCACGATAGGTGAAGTTAAGGATGCTATCCGACAGCTTAAGAACAACAAAGCACCTGGGTAAGATGGTATCGGAGCGGAACTTATCAAAATGGGCCCGGATAAGTTGGCCACTTGTCTGCACCGACTGATAGTCAGGATCTGGGATACATAACAGCTACCGGAGGAGTAGAACGAGGGAGTTATATGCCCAGTATATAAAAAAGGCGACAAACTAGAATGTGAGCGATCACTATTCTTAACGCGGCCTACAAAGTGCTTTCCCAGATCATCTTTCGCCGTTTATCGCCGTTAGCAAGCATATTTGTGGGAACTTATCAAGCCGGTTTTGTAGGCGGGCGTTCGACAACGGACCAAATCTTTACGTTGCGGCAGATCCTCCAAAAGTGTCGTGCATATATCAAGTCCCTACGCACCACCTATTCATCGATTTCAAGGCCGCTTATGATACTATTGATCGTGAAGAGCTATGAAAGATTATGGACGAGAACGGTTTTGCCGGGAAGCTGACCAGACTGATCAGGGCTACGATGGATGGTGTACAGTGCTGCGTGAAGATATCGGACACTCGTTTGAAACGCAAAAGACTTCGACAAGGCGATGGTCTTTCCTGCCTCCTGTTTAACATTGCGCTAGAAGCTGTTATGAGACGTGCGGGCTTTAACATGCAAGGTACGATCTTCAATAAGTCCAGCCAGTTCATCTGCTTCGCTGACGACGTGGACATTGTCGGAAGAACGTTTCAGGCCGTGGCGAAGCAGTACACCAGGCTGAAACGTGAAGCAGAGAAGGTTTGATTAAAGGTGAATACGTCGAAGACAAAGTATCTGTTAGCTGGAGGAACCGAGCGGGAGAACGGTGTATGGAGGCGAAGGATGAACCACGAGCTGGCGCAACTCTATGGCGAACCCTGTATCCAGAAAGTTGCGAAAGCTGGACGGTTTGCGAAAGCCGGCCAGTACAAGACGAAGAGTAAGTAAGTAAACGCCAAAGAATTCAAATGGAACCTATTTTTGATTTTATACAGTTTGTTGGAAACATAAATGCCCAATTGTGCTAATTTCTGAACATTTTTGTACAAATTTATACATACAGCTGTGTTCGATAAAATAGCAGCGCATGCCGATTTTCATACAAAATGGTCAACTTTGACATGATGTAACTTTGTTAACTTATGATCAATTGAACAATTTTACGATAACAAAATATTAAATTTTTGGAAGCACCTGCCGGAAAGTGAGACACCAGGTAATATTATTCAAGCAGCAGTTTTTTATTTGAAAATTTACGTGCTGCAAATATTATAAACATTTTTCACTATTATGTACATTTTTTAATTGGGTGAGGATTGTTAGAATTTTGAGAAATGTAAAATTTAAAATCTCAAATTAAGCAGAAATGAAAATTATTAGTGCAGCGAATCAATCCTTTTTTCCTAGCTTTATACTATTTTTGCTATGTTTTAGCAGACAAAATGAATCCAAATTGCGGGAATCTG